GAATCATACATACAGAACCACGAACTTTAATTATTACGCCAGCGTCGACAATTCTATTCTATTTGCATATGGCGAGTCTCCTATCATCCCGGTACTCACAACCCCACGATCACGAATAAAATTATTTAACGGTCGCCGATTAATCACTATCGATTTAATAGTTTCAATAAACCGTTTCGGTGGTGATGAAGCAAGTACAACAGAGATCATACTACGCATAATCGAATCGATTGATGTCTTCGCCGGTAAGTAGATTATTTCTTCGGCAACAAAAATTGAAGCAATATATGAAGCCAAATATATTGCAGATAGAATGCTTAGCACCACGAGATACCAAGTGGCTATAGCAGCATTCATAGGTTTGATGTGCCCCGTTTTTAGTAGTTTCGGATTATTTGGATTCCAATGTGAACTTATCACTGGAGCAAAAGTGTACCCGAACGATAACATCATGGTTAAAATTCCCACAATCATTTGCACCGCCCAAAGTATGTGTCGTGGCTCCTTTGTCGTATCAATTATTAGAAATGTAATGGTAATAGAATTTAGAACGTTAAAAAGTACTATGCCGAACAGTATTAATTTGAATAATAATGTGTTCCAGTAAATGTTTTGATAGAATTTTCGGCCCATGTCCAAAATAAAGATTACGATAATTGTTGTGTAAACTGCAGATTCTAATGCAATTAATAGCCAAAACGCGATCGTACTTATGCTGTTTGTGAGGCATCGTATAAGGTGCACGATAGCACGTATTTGTATAATTAAAGTTCCTATTAGACTGTTGTTATAAACGATAACGTTACTATTTAATGCGTATCTATAATTTTATAGTGTAGATTTATAAAATTACCATGCAAGTCTTAGTCTTGTAGAACTAGTTATAACTTTATATATTATAAAGAAAGTAGACAATGTACTCGTGATTAAACAGATAATAACCACTTCATATTCGTCTAAGTCTGCGTCCAAGCTCATGCCCAAGTCAATTCCCATTTTATAAAAAACTTCATATAAATGAATGAGATTTTTTATTACTGATTATTAATCAA